ATGTTTTTTGGTGGCTTTGTGATTGGTGGGGTATTCCTCATATTGATGCATTTGCCACAGCCCTCAATCATCAGTTACTTTTATTTTGGTCCCTGGTTCCCCATCCTCGGGGTTTGGCTATAGATGCCTTCAGCCAGGATTGGTCGAACAAGTTCTATTATGTTTATCCTTCTATCCGATTACTTCATTGGGTAGTCTCCTTCATCCATACCACTGCGTGGAAAGTCCTTCTGATTGCTCCTTATTAGCCCACTCAACCGTGGTTTCCTCGATTACTCCAGCTACAGTTTTTCCCTCCTGTCCCTCTTCCTTTATTCCCCAACCTTCTTTATCAACCCCAGTCACTGGTTCTGCATGTCGTACTTCACATCCTCTATCCTCACACCTGGTTTTTGTCTAGTCCCTTGCTAGGAGATCCGGTTTCTCACATCAGGTGCCATTTCATTTAGCTCATTCGTTTGTCCTCCATCCATGGTGTATCAGTAGAAATGGAATGTTTCCTCACCTGTGCCCTGGCTTGGGGTATCCCAGCTTCTCATCCTATGGTTGCTGGTATCACTGAGTTTCTTATGTGGCTTTTTGAGAAGGGGTCTTTGGTTGCCTCAATATCGGGTTATTGGAGCAGTGCTATTCCATCCTTTCTATTTTTCTTGTTACCACAAGGTCTTTCTTTTCCCTGACTTTGCCATTTTGATCTGTTCTTTCTGGATACATTGGCTGCCTAGGCATCTGGTACTTCCAGAATGGGACATTAATGTGGTACTCCATTCCCTTACTTTACCTTCGTTTGAGCCCATTGCCTTGTAGTCTTTGTTTCACTTATCCCTTAAGGCATATTTCCTTTTCCTTGTGTTCTGCGGGTGTCATTGGTTGGATCTGTTCACTATCGATGTCACTTGCACACTGTACAACCAAACCTATCTTCTCCTTTATCTGGATCATTCCTTCCTTCCCAAGACCTTGGCAGCTCTTGTGGGTAACTCCTACTTTTTGCCCATTTCCTTTCCCTCTATTTCTCATCTCTACCTTTGTCCTGATCCAGATAGACTTCTATGCCCAGTGCGTGCCCTTGGTTGTTATATTGTCCACACAGCTTCCTTCAGGGGTTCCCATTACTGTCTCTTTATCCTGTGGAAATCCTTATCCTCTCAGGATCTTTCTTCCTTTACTCTTTTATCAACTTGGTTCATCATTTAATCCAGTTGGCTTATTCCTCTCTTTCCCTTCCCAGTGTGCTTTATTCCATGTTCCCTCCCATCAAATCTGACACCTCACCTTTTCTATTGCTTCTTGTCTTCGTCAGGCTTTGGCGGAGATTCTGCAGTCGGACTCTCTAATGCTCTTCCCCCACTTTCTTCCAGTGGAGTATGAGAGTCCTTACCATTTGCCAGTTCCAAACTGCTGGATGGGTTCCAGATAGATAGCTATAACCATTCAGTTCAGAGTAGGGTGGTGGTGTTCTGCTGGTGTAGAAGGCATATCATACTCTGATTGGTACATACCATGGAATGAGATGTCTAAACACAGTTCACCCCTTCAATTGGGTGCCCTCATCCTACCTTTGTGGAGGTGTCGGTACCCCGCAGGCTGGTTTTGGATATCAAGTGAACTAATCAACTTAAGTCTTCACACAGGTTTGGGGTTGTCCATTTTCCTCCCTTGATACTTCCTTCTTTGTAGTGGGTCATGGAGGATATACATGAGATGTTTCTGTCCTGGGCACTCCCTTGTTCTCTCTTGCAATGGGGATGTTATTGACCTTTGGACATTTCAGACCAGTCTCATGGTTGCGGGAGTTGATTGCATGCGATGGATTTTCCTCATATACTGGATGACACATTCCCAGATCCCTGGCACAATGCTAATCCTGTGTCATGCCCTGGAGTTGGTGTTTACATCACATCCATGATTTTGGGGCTTGAGGTGAAGCCAGTATGATCCTCATCCTACCCTTGTGCAGATGTCAGTACTCAGTGAGGGGGATTTTGGATGAGTTGACTTATCAGGTATCGTCCACCGCACCCTAGTCATTCAACACCATGGGATGCATCCTCCATTACCCACTTTACTTCTGTGGGATTGAGTTTCTATATTTATTTGGTTGGGATCACTTTCCTGACTTATCCTCTCCCACTCAAATTTGCTCCATTTTCTGCCATGTTTGTTCCTAGCTGTTCATGGTGAAGAGATACCTGATTCAGAAGTGGTGCAGTGCCCCTCCTCAGATCATCTGATTTGTTTCTCTCATCTACAGAAGTATCCTTTGGATGCCTTCGGGGAGTATATCTGTTCTTCCCTCACACCTGTCCCTCCTCCTTTTCAATGTAGGATTCTAGGTAATCTTGTGAATAGAGGGAAGTACCGTATTAGAAGCTATAATTTTCCTATACTAAAAATGTATTTCCGATAGGTACTTCCCTCCGCTCACTCTTCCCACCATTCTCCCCACAATCTACCAGTGCTTACATCTTCTACCAAACTTCGAAGTGATGGTACGGTAGTGGCTCATAGAGGGAGTCACATTCATCACTTGATAGTAATGCTCTTCTATTGATGGAGAGATGACGCATGATGATTTGCATGAGAGACATGCTGGAATCTTTGATTCCAATAGGGGGTGCAGAAGGCTTGTGGCATGCATTATAAAAAATTTCACATATATAGGGCAGCACCAAATGGGAAAAGCTAATCTTGTGAGCGGAAGGAAGTACCTATTGGAAACACATTTTCAGTATAGGAAAATTAGAACTTTAAATGATAGAGATAGAATAACTGTAGTTTTAATTGTACTATATGTCACTGTTAAGTGATTATTAATTTATTAGTCATATTGATTATGGAAATTTTTAATAAGTAACTTTGGGATTGAATGAAGTAATTATGAAGATATTTGAACAGATAATTTTGTTGTTAATTTTCCAAATATGTGTGTGAACTTTCAGATCAGTATAATAATAAATTAAGATTTGAAAATAAGATAAAAGACATTTTTAATTGCAGGATCTGCCTGCTGGAAGACAGTGTACATATAAATTACTTAAAGAAAAGTGCTTTGAAGAAATCACATGTACATCATTCATACAGATTTCCTAATGCTATTTTTGTAATAAACTTAAAAGAATAATATTACTAACTCCTTCTCAATGATTGAAATTAAATTATCATTTTAAGGTATACTTCATGAAACACTGAGTTTATGGCCAGAATTACTAAAAGATATATCATGCAAGGGTTCATTAATTTCTGGATAATCATTATAAGTCCATTATATGGTTTTATTCTTAATATTATCACTGTTCATCTTCTCAACTATAGTAATTAATCCATTAATTTGCACTACTGAAGCATCTTTAGTGTTTGTAATTTATATTTAATTTAGTTTTAATTACACTATTAGCTTACTCATGTTCAGAAGTTAAGAATTTGATCAAATAAATTATAAGAAAAATAAAATACTCCTGTCATGTGCAAATACCACATATATCACTTTCTTATAATATACATATAATGTAATCGACAACATTTTTACATATTTGTACTGAGGTGGCTTAGGACTTTTCTAAATTGTGACAAGGCCATGTGCTAGTTCAACCTTTAGATATTCACTCTATGTAACATATGTTGGTCAAAGATACTATCTGCTATTTCATTGGATAGTTGCATTATACCAAATGCCATTCTAATTGTAGGGTTGGGAGGGACTAGAGAATGTTGTACGAAAATATTTCTCACTTTATTGGTATGTGTATTTATAAAAGTGATGGTCAAATCTAACTAAACAGTTAAGAGTATCTGAAGAGTTGATAAATGGTGCTGTTGACTAGCTGCCTTATGTCTAGGGACTGCTAGCTCTTGTGTAGCTTTGTACAAATATCCAAAACAGTCAATCAGAGCATCCTGAGTGTAAGGTTACATTACTATTGTCACATGAAACAGAAGTTTCTCCTATTTTAAGTATTCCACTAGTTTCAGATTCAGTTTAACAATCAGTTTTGTTTATTTATACATGGCATTTACTTTAACAATAACAATTTCACTCATTTGACCTAGTCTCTGTTTCAACCATCCTTTTGTTTTTGTTTATAAAATGTTTGTTTTTCTTCATCTTCACACCAAGTCTTGCTGATCACTGACAAATTTATACACATGTTCAATAAAAATACTAGATCTGTGAACTTCTCATTGTATTGGTGGTTAGGTAACTGTGTATTATGAATTTTAGAACATCACAGCTTCTGAATGGTTTGCATTACTGACTATACAATAGACAGTTAAACAAATACATTATCCATTGGTTATATATATATATATATGTGTGTGTATGTGTGTAATGAGAACTTTTTTACCATTTTATTATAGTTACTCATTAAAATGAAAACAAATTGAAAGTTTTAGCATTTCACTAAAGAAAAATAAGAAGAATTAACTATTAATGTCATAATTGGCTTTATCAATGAAATCTATTTTTAGTGCAGTATAGGAAGAATGTGTTTTGCTTCAATGAGATTTTGTAGAAATAGACAGGGAACAGAGAGACATGCCATTTTCTTATGGTGCTTGTGGGAGTAAATATTTCCATTTATGTTAATAACAGAGTGACATTATTTCTTCAGTTCTTATTAGATGAGAAAAGGGTAACCGGTTTTCTACCATTGTATTATAAACATTTGATCCCACTCATGATATCTACATGCCTACTACTCATTTAATTATTTAGTTTTGGCAATTGAAAAATAAGAGGGTAAAATATTTGAAGTGCTACTAATAGGTAATTTTACTTTATGGGCTTGTATTTTTTCATATGCTTTATATTTTAGATATTTATTATTGCATTTTTCTAATATGACTCAAGGTCATTAACTACTAAGCTATGTTAAGTTGTTCTATTGCCTGTAATACAATAATTTTTCATCAAACTAAAATAACTATTTCTTTTTAATAACTTGCTGTAAGTTCACAAGATGAATTGTGTTTGAACCTAAACAGATATCATTTTACAGATTACAGACTACCCACTCTATCATACTGAATATGACGTTTTTGATGCCATGGCCAACTACACTGATCACAATTTTGAGTCAGCTAAAACTATAGCTCGAATAGTAGGAACTTTGGCCTTGAAGCTGACTGACTCACTGGAGCTTCCCTTAAGAGCTAACCATTATGCAGAACACATTGAACGACACTTAAAGCCTTTTCTCGCTCATTATAAAAATGTTTTAAATGACTTCAAGATTGATGTAGGTAAGAAAGAAACTTTAGCTTCTTCATGAAATTAGAATTTGAAACTACATGCATATTTCATCTTCAGGTTTATGAAATTAAAGAATGCTAGAAATATTTAAACTACTGTATGTAAAGTTTTCCTAGTTTATTCATTTTGTATTTATTATTTTGAGAATCAAGACACATAGTGTGTCTTGCAGACAAAAAACAACCTGCAGGACACACTGTGCATTACCAACAGGAGTGATAGTTTAGCGATTTTCTGCCTTCTGTAGCTCTGACTGTGGTAATCCAAACTACCACTTATTTTCAGTGCATGTGTTTTATTGGACTCTTATTTCACATACTAAATTTCAAGACAATCCATTAAGAAATACCTGAAATATAAAATCTCCAATTTTGATTGAGTTTCTTCCTTTTTTTCTCTTTGCACCACAAGTACAGAAACTTTATTAGATAGAAAAACATACTTAACTTTCATGAATTTTTTTCAAGTTTGGTACACTGATAGATCTTTGCAATGTCTAATTATAAGCCACATGTACAAAGTTATTCAACAAAAACTGCTGAATATTACCAAAGTTCACGTGAGCTATCAGTCTAAAATATTTACTGCAGTTTCATCTAAGAGTAAAGTAGACAGTTTTTAGTTTTTGTTATTCAGATTAAAGATGGCTGATTTAGAGCAGCAAAACAATAAGGTGAAAGGACATGCAGATACTTAAGTTTTGGTTAGGCCAAGCAAACTAGATTAGCAGTTTCTATCTCAAATTTTCAAAAGAATCATATGAGTGGACAGTTATTATTGATTATTCATTGCCAACTTTTAAGCACAAATTTACTAAATTTTATGAAATTGTCCTAATTAAAGAGTGTTTAGCATCACTTGATATTAGCTTAAGCAATTAGCATAAATAGTAATTTTTGATATGGCTGTACCGATTACTTGGGTGTGATGACAACAAACTGTTAATCTAAATTCCATAGCGTTAGTATAAAGGAACCTATTAACACTGTTTTAGAGAGGAAAGATTACCACTATATATTTGTGATACGGTACATTACCTCCCCTCACATAAATATCTATTCTCATTCAGTGCTGCCTTCTATATGCAAAAAAAGGTTTTTACACAAGGCTTCTATCTCCCCTCCATTGGAATTGACAAATTCCAATGCATCTCTCATGCAAATCATCATGCATCAACCCTCCACCAATAAGAGAGCAACATATTCTCATGACACATGTGGCTCCCTCTATTCAATTATACTGAACTATCACTTCTTGTTTGACAGTATTCGTGTTCAGATGGTTTTTTATTTTGGTGCTCTTCCTGTGAATCATGGTTTTAATAGTTTAATTGCTGAAGTGGGAGTTCTTCATTATTATATTTTCTTTACATTGAAGAAATCTTTTAATTTAATTTTATTTCCCTTTTTTTTTTCTCACACTCACATATTCTTCAAACACTTTTGTTTGTTTACTTATTTCCACAATGAATTCTGATGTTCAGGTGGGGAAGACCCATCATTGGATTTCTCTGCTATTATCGATCATGAGACTAATCGTTATATGGGCAAATCACTAATCCTTCTGATCAAGCCAAACCTGTTCGGGCCGATGAAGATTTGATAGCCTTTTTACACCACTTGATTTTGCCTTGTTTTTCTCTACCCCTCCTGCAAAATCAGATAGCCTTAATATGACATTTTTTATATGATTTCTCAGGTATGTTATGTTTTATCCAATTCCCTATTTTTCTATGATTCCTTATTACCTCCTTATTGGCTCATTTCTCATCTTTGGTTCTTGCTTTACACATGTGGTTTCACTGTAGTTGGAATTTTCTGTGTTGTGATGCAACCTTGTCTGGGTATGTTTACTGAGTCTTTCTTTTCAGGATTTCTGTATTCTCTCTGGTGATATGTCTTATATCATGTATCTGAGACTTTGGAATATCATGTGTTATTTCTGCATCAACACTAAACCCTTTCCTCTTTGGTTGCACATTTATTACAGTTGGAGCCATGACATGTCCCTATTGTTTTATTCAACATTTATTGGCATGTTGCCAACAGTACCGGAGACTAACAGTACAGTTCCATGGGTTCTTCAGGTTTTATCAGAGGGACTTATCATTCAATTCCTTTCCCTACCTCCATTGTCCCTGGTACCCCTTTTCCTTCCCCATGACCTGCATCTGTCTGAGGTGGTACAAGGCCATTGCACCTGTTCATCGTTTTTCTCCAGACTTTTATTCCATGCTGTTTGTTATCCTCATACCAAACTAGAGACTGGCAGCTTGTACTGGGTTTGTCCCGTCTCATTCTAATTCTCAATCTGCCCCATTTTACCTTGGAGTCATTTCTCACCCTTAAGTGGGCTTTTTCCCCAATGTTTATCGATGACAAAGAAGAATATTGTGAATGCTTCTTTGCATATCCTGATATTTCGTCACTCGCGACCCTCTCTTCAGTTTATTCTCCATGGAGTGGTTTCTCTGTTTTGCTCTCTGCCCTTTGGACTAACTTTAGCCCTATATATTTTGTCGGACATTCAGAGAATTCATTCATTACTTGTATGCTCTCAGGTTGCACTTTCCACTTTCTTTTATTTACTGGCTACTGTTCGCTTGTTCCGAACAGGAGTCCACCTGTTACCCTTATCAGTTGCTCCTGGAGGTGGCTGTAATGGGCTGTTAATCAAGTTGGAGAAGT